GCCCCAACTTTCCTCTTTCCCTGCCTTGGAGCCTCTTCATTCCTCCTTTTCTGCACCTGCCCCCACCCAGGATGATTACCTTGATCTCTTTGGGGATCCCAGTGTGACGGGCAAGATCGGCACTGACATCCAGGACAACAAGTGCAGCTGGCTGGTGATTCAGTGTCTGCAACGGGCCTCTCCGGAACAGCGCCAGGTCCTGCAGGTGCCTGAGAGAGGGCTGTGGATCCCTGAGCTGCTGAAAAAGGGGATAGAGCAGTGGTTCTTCAGTGAGGGTGATTTTGACCCCCCCGGAGGACGTTTGGCAGTGTCAGGAGACATTTTTTTGTTGTCATAACTTGGTGTGTGTGCATGTGCCACAGGTATCTCTAGTGGGTAGAGGCCAGAGATGCTGCCAAACGTCTTACAATGCATACAGTAGCTTCCACACAAAGTATTATCCAGCCCAAAATTTCAAATGTGCCAAGGGTTGAGAAACCCTGGACTAGAGGAAACTGAGGCCTGAGCCACTATCTGAGCATTTGGGATGGGGAGGGGGAGGTTCAAGATCTTAGATACTAAGAGATGCTTGAAACTGGAGGCAGGAATGGAGTGAATGGCATTGGAGATGTTCTGGAATATCTGGATGGGGGAAGGAGAGGGGACCTGGAGGTGCTGGGGGGGAGATTAATAAGCCCATTTTCCTGCCTCCAATCCTTCAGGAGAACTATGGGCAGAAGGAGGCCGAGAAGGTGGCCCGGGTAAAGGCGCTATACGAGGAGATGAATCTTCGGGCTGTGTTCACGCAGTATGAGGAGCACAGTTACAGCCACATTATGGGTCTCATTGAGCAGTATGCTGCGCCCCTGCCCACAGCCATCTTCCTGGGGCTAGCAAACAAGATCTACAAGCGGAAAAAGTGACTTAGAGACTGTGAAGGTGGAGAGGGGAGGCTCTCAATAAATTGTTGTCTAACCTGTGGTTCTTCTGTTCCTGCTTGTGCCAGCCAGGGGCGCAGCTCTGTCTAGAATGGGCAGGGTGGGGGGCAGTTGCATGGAAGCGAGGACCTTGGGCCTTGGCTTCAGGACCCCCTTGGGACTGAAAGCTTAGGATGCATGAAAAGCCATTGAGCCGGGGCCTGGGTGGGTGACACAGGCGAGACGTCAAGCGCTGGGGGCTGGGTCTGAGCCGCGCCACGCCCATGCGTGAAGGGGCGCGGCTGCGCAGCGCTGGCGCCGGTTGTCCCAGGTCCCCTCCCCTCCAGTCTGTGCAGGCCGGGCGGGGACCCGAGCTGCGAAGGAGCAGACGCTGGAGCAGTTGCGGGAGGACCCTGGTGAGGATGGCTTGTCTTGTGGGTGTGGATGGACGGGTTGGGGCACGCGGGGTGGGGCAAGAGAGGTTAGCGGTAAAAAATGAATAGAGAAGGGGTGGGGTGGTAGCTGGATGATAGAGACAAATGGGGAGAGAATGGATAGACGCGCTGGTTTTCAGAGCAGGGTGAACGTGCACCGTGGCTGGAGGCCGGAGCTCGGGGTCTGTGCCGGCTGGCCTAACTACCAGGCGGAGTTGACATGATGACGGCTTCTCCGTCCTTTCCCCCACGCCCGCCCCTTTCCTGCATCAACCAGCCAGCCGAGCCTCCCCACCACCCAATTTCAGACCATCTGGGCGGGGCGTCCCTTGGCCCCTTCCCCTGGGAGTGAGGGGCAGGCTGGGGAGCAGAGCCAGATTGCAGCAGAGAGGACCCGGAGTCCATTCTGGGCCCCATTCTTTTCCAAGCCCCTGCACCTCCAAGGAGATCGAGAGCGCAGCCGCATTCTCTGACCCTCCCCGCCCCATTCCTGGGGGGTTACATTCGACTCCACCTGCAAACACTGCAGGGGAAACTAATGGCCAGTCGGTGTCTATTTGCATCTCATTTAAATATTGTCCAAGGCGCCTTTGCAGGCCTTCCCCAGCCGTCAGTCACCTCCGTGTCCTTCCCGCGGCCCGCTCCCTCACTGGCTGGGTTTCACCATCCCTGTCTTCTAGGGCTGCATCTGCGGTTGTCAGGTAGGTGGATGTGAGAGGCCTGCTCCTCCTCATTCTCTAGAGGCCATCCCGTCGCCGCTGGCACCATGCTGTCCCCTCAGAGGGCTTTACTCTGCAACCTCAACCACATCCACCTCCAGCATGTCTCTCTGGGCCTGCACTTGTCCCGCCGTCCGGAGCTTCGGGAGGGGCCCTTGAGCACATCCCCTCCCCCAGGTGACACTGGGGGCAAGGAGAGCCGGGGCCCCTGCAGCGGGACCTTGGTGGACGCCAATTCCAACAGCCCAGCCGTTCCCTGCCGATGTTGCCAGGAGCATGGGCCAGGCCTAGAAAACCGGCAGGACCCAGCACAGGACGAAGAGGGGGCTGCCTCTCCCTCAGACCCGGGTTGCTCCTCCTCTCTCAGCTCCTGTTCAGATCTTAGCCCTGATGAGTCCCCCATCTCGGTCTACTCCAGGGACCTCCCTGGCAATGAGGATGTCCACCCTCAGCCCAGCATCATTCCTCTGGATCAAGGCTCCCCACTGGCTTCTGCAGGTCCAGGCGCCTGCTCCCCAGACAGCTTTTGTTGCTCTCCTGATTCCTGCTCTGAAGCTTCCTCTCCACCTGGCCCTGGCCTGGACTCCAACTGCAATGCCCTGACCAGCTGCCAGGACCTGCCTTCCCCAGGACTAGAGGAAGAGGATGAGGCTGAGGAGCAGGACCTCCCTACCTCTGACCTCCTAGAGGCTGATGATGGGAAAATCGATGCTGGGAAAACCGAACCCAGTTGGAAAATCAACCCCATTTGGAAAATTGACAAAGAGAAAACTGAAGCTGGCTGGAAAATCACTGAGAACAATAACTCTGATTGGAAAGTCAATGGGAATATTAACTCTAGCTGGAAAACTGAACCTGGAAAATTCGACTCCGGTTGGAAGACCAATACAGGAATAACTGATACGGGCTCCAAAACAGATGCAGGGAAAACTGATGGCGAATGGAGAAGTGACGTCAGCAAGGAGCCGGTGCCCCACCGGACAATCACGTCCTTCCACGAGCTGGCCCAGAAGCGCAAGCGGGGCCCAGGGCTGCCCCTCGTGCCGCAGGCCAAGAAAGACCGCAGTGACTGGCTCATCGTCTTCTCGCCAGACACCGAGCTGCCCCCCACGGGGTCGCTCGGTGGCTCCCCGGCGCCTCCCCGGGAAGTCACCACCTTCAAGGAACTCAGGTCCCGAAGCCGGGCCCCGCCCCCGCC